GTTTCAGTGGGGCTGGATTCCTCCAGCCACCAATGCAGTCACACACACACACACACACACACACACACACACACACACAGAGTCCTGTGCTGTAACACAAACAGGGAGTCCTGTGCTATACCACACACACATTATATATATGCAGGCTGGTTCACAGCCAGGACCCAATCTCAGCAGGCAGATAGATGCATGCACCATGAGTTGACTGCCCCAAGTGCACTGCCTTTGCAGACTCCTGAGGCTGCCAGCAGCTGGAGGCAGCCACAGATCTGAATGCATTTGCAGTAGCTCTTGCAAACTTTGATTCCATTGGCATTAGTAATTTCCCAGGTCTCTAGTAAAGCAATCTGGAGCCAAATGTTACCTTGTGCTATCACTGATGCCTAAGGGCTCATCTGCAGGTGGGAAGTTTTCAGTCTGCAGCACAGCCCTCTGCACCATCTGTTTGAACCAGTGACACACTCTGCTTGTGGCCTCCATGGGGATTTGCTGATAGCAGAGGGTTGGTGAGACTCAGGGATCCTGATTCCAGGCAAGCCTGTGGTCACAGACCCTTTAGCCAACCTTCTTCCAGTGCTTCCACATTTTCCTTTGGCACCTCCTAGCATTACTCTTCACCCTGCTCCCAGTAACTTTGTCCAACCAGTCCCTTTCTCCTCCAATTCTCAGTCTCTTTGGCCAACTAGTTCCAATCTCCCCCAACTTCCAGTCAGAGGTTCTCTTCTCTTCCTCCTTCATTTGTATTCAGAAGCTGTTTTTTCTCTGACTGCAACGTGGTAAAGGTGCAAGCCTTTCCCATTAACATATAACAGAGGTAAGCTGATTTCGTGGCAAGGACGAGTTCCATCACTTATTCCACAGAGACCGTCACTTTTCAGAATGAGACACGAACCCAAAGGTGACACATCCTCATTTGTAATTAAAGTTTTATTGTCAATAAAATAATTTTCAAATACCCAGTATACATTCACATACATGCTGCCCCCGTGAAAAACCAGTGACAATCACAGTAATGCTGCTGAAAAAAAAAATCTGAGGGCTGGGTTAGTTTCCCCACCTAATTTGATATTACATTTGTGCTTCCCAGGCACAGCTGTATGTGTACCTAATCAGGGTCTGATCCAAAGTCCTTGGAAGACTCCTGGTGACTTTGACCATGCCCTCCTATATTCTAAAAATACAGTTCTATACTAAGTACATAGTAACACAATTTATTACTTAGGATAGTTAAATAACAGTGAGCTGACAGATCATTTATCTATTCCACACTTAAATTAACAGACAGCCTTCACTTTGTGTACAGTACATGGATAAAAATGTTTTGCTTTCTAGGTACCGAGCACCTCTGCTCTGCCTTGTGACAACTCCACCTTCTGCAGCCCACACTCAGTGCAGCATCAGTACATTCATTTCTAAGAAGATGGTGCCTGTGAGCAGGTGGCTCTTGAGGCACCATTTGATAATCACTCTCTGGGTTGCATCTAAGCCTTATAAAGCCACTCACTCCAAGCCTGTCTAAATCCCCTGCTAAGCCATGTTCAGGGCTTGTTTTGTGCGTCACATTCGTTAACAAAGAACTATGCCTACTGAAGTACTATCAATAGACAGGCACATGTAATAACCCTGCCTTCCCCTTCCACTGCTGAAGATCCCCTTCTCTTCTAGTCACATTGTTCTAGGGCAGGGCTATTCAAGTATCAGCCCAAGGGCTGCATGCAGACCATGAGGGATAAGATGTGACCCCTGGGTTCCCACCCAGCCATCATTCCATGTATCGCTCCAGCTGCAATAGCAGTCTCTGGGCTCCCACTCCCTCAACCAGCCTCCACTCCTGGGGGTGGGGCAGTGTGGTGTGGTGTGGCCAAGCAGCCTGGGGGTAAGTCTGGGGCCATGCAGGCATGGTGTATGCGTGAGAGGGGTAGGGAGGGGAAAAGTGTGTGTGGCAGGGGGAATGCATGGTGTGCAGCCCAAAAAAGCCCATGGCTTGTCCTGGTGCAGCCTACAGGTGTACAGAAGGTTGCTGCTTAGAAGGTTGACTGCCCTGTTCTATGGAGTCCCACTTTTACCATTAACTCTGTTTTAGTGCGATTAACACCAGTATGTCAGGGAATCCAAACCAAGGGAGCTGCAAGAAGAAGGACAACCAAGGTGGTCCTTGTAGAGTCCCCCAAATCCTTCCCCTAGGACAAGTCAGGTTTTGTCTTTCAAAT